CAGGAGATGGAGCAAGACCAGGAGCGTGAGCAGGTGGGTAAGACATGATGGATGGATCAGTCACATCACCTACACATCACCCTACCCCGTGTGATGTGACCAGTCTGTATCGCTGTCTCCGTGCTGTCTGTGTGCCTGGTTCGATTCAGGAGCAGGAGAAGGAAGAGGAGAAGATGCCCGAGCCAGAAGAGGCAGCCAAACTCAAATACTCCAGACAGGTCAGCTAGACAGACCGTTACACACATACGCCACGCAGCCACACCTCTGTGTGTGATGTGATGTTGTCTTCTCCCTTCACACACCACACCACACATACAGGACGAGGCGCCTTTGCCGTGGCCGATTGAGTCCCTCAAGGACGCACCATCCAAGCAGCAGCAGGCATTCTACCCTCTCTCTGAATTCGCCGTGCTCAAGGTCACAACACACCGCCACATCGCACCACAATCCCTCACTCACGCTCACACACTTTCCCTCCCTCCCTCCTTGCTGTGGTGTGCTGCGCATGATTGCAGAAGATGATAGCGCGTCCGCGGCCGATAGCCTTCCCCGAGTACCTGTACCTGAGCAACAACCACTACAAGGCGGGCTGGTCATGGAACACCTTCAGGCGCCTCAAGAACGTCATTGTCGTCATGGAGTGGATACCCGACTGGTCAGACCTCAACCTACGCGGAAAGGCCAAAAACACTGTAAGTGAGTCGGCAGCACACCACACCACACCACAGCACAGCACAGCACACCCAACAACCATACACATGGATGGATGGAAGGTCTGTCACATGATCACATGATGGATGGTGTCGCCTCGTGATGGCATGGCAGAGCGCCCCCCCTCCCGGCCTGTCGCCCGAGCAGACGCAGCGTCTCAAGAAGGCGTTCGACCTTTTCGACACCAACAAGCGGGGCACCATCTCCCTCGCAGCCTTCCGCGAGCTGCTCCGCGCCATTGACGCCGACGCGACCGACACGGACGACCCCACCGCCACCCACATGCTGCACAAACTGGTGGAGAGGCACAAGGGGCCGCGGCCGCCGGGCCCATCCAGTGGTGCGATGAAGCTCAAGGGCATCCTCAACCCCGCCCCAGCAGTGCCGTCACCGCGGCTGATCGGATCACCGCAGCCAGGCCAGGGTCTCCCCACCACCACCCCCGCACATGACCCCATGGACCTGCTGGGCGGCTTCACGGCACCCCCACCCGTATCTGCACTCCCACCTACGGCAGCCATGGCGACGTCGCCACCTCCTGCTGCTGGTGGGGGTGGTGAGAATCGGCCGGTGTCGCGGTCGCCCTCCCCGCCTGGCGATGGGTGGGGGCTGGATGCACTGGATGACCTCCTGGGCGGGCCCAGCCCCACGACCAACGGGCCGATGGCGCCATCCCCCACCTCCCCTCCCCCTCTGGTGTCATCACCGCCATCCGCCGCCCCTGTCCCCGCCCCCACTCCCGCCCCCCTGACCAACGGCCCGGCCATGGCGTCCCGCTTTGATGCTCTCAGCAACCTGGGGGCAGTGGACGTCGGCCACTCGGCCAAGGACAAAGACAAAGACAGGGATTCTCGGGAGAGGGAGAGGGAGAGGGAGAGGGAGGGCGTTTTGACCGAGGCTGACCTGCGGATCGAGCTGTCGTTTGAGGAGGTGCGGGAGGCGCTGGGCGAGGAGTCGCTGTACGCCATCCAGAGGGGCAGGTTCTTCGTCGTCCTCGCACTCGACGAGGCCGAGACCGTCAGGGCCGCCATGCACGTCAGACAGGTGGGTGACACGACACTCAGAAAGAACGGTGGGATCAAGGGCATGTCTCCCTCCGCCCTGTTGTGTCAGGCTCAGCGCGGCCCGTCGGTTGTTCCCGGTGCCCACTCAGCGATTGCTCTCCGCAACCTGTCCTCCCGCTTCGCTCCCCTCGACGCCTCACCACCCTTCTTCGACACTGCCGATGGCAACGGAGCCCTCGGGGCGCCATCGCTGTCCAGGGGGCTGAGGGCGGCATCCTACCAGCAGGAGAGCGCCCACAGCTGCTGTCGCTTCCTCAACAGCGAGCTGCACTACTCTGACCGGCAGGTGGCGCTGTTAGTGCGGGCCCTGCAGCCCAATTCGTGTGACGAGAGACAGGTCGGTCCGTGGGATCGGTGGGCGTTGGTTCGCTCGTGTGTCATCTATGTGTCTATGCCGTGCGTCTTTTCCTTACACAGGAGTATTTCTTTGACGTGCGAAAGTGCCGTCGACGACGTCAGATACCCTGGCAGGGCACCCCTATAGCGAGGCTCTTCACCACGCCCGACGACTACGCCCTCCTGCAGTTCAGGGCAGTCGCCACCAAAGTGCGATCGGCATGCGTCAAACGGTCAGTCAGTCGTCACAATACACACAACACAACACAACACACCAGGTGAGGTGCATGGACATTGATTCATTCGGTCTGTGTGTTGTGATGTGATCGGTCGCCTCCACTGCAGTGGGTTGTCGCTGGTAGATGCCTTCCGTGCATTCGACCGGGACCGTGACGGCATCCTCAAGCCGGCAGAGGTCTACGCCGGCCTTAAGTGGCTCGGTGTGGACATCGCACCTAACGAAATGCAGGTAGGTCTGTCCCTTCAGCTGCCTCTCCCTCCCTCCCTCCCTCCTTGACCCACACACACCATGACCATCTATCCCCTCTCCCTGGCGTGTCTGTCTCGGTGTCAGGACATCCTCCGTCACATCGACATGGACGGCAACGGCATCGTGACGGAGCACGACTTCACGGTAGCCCTCGCAGACCCATTCAAGCAGACCCAGCAGGGCGCCGCTGGCCGTGCCGCGGCCGTCAGCGGGCGGGACAAGCTGTCGGGTGCCGAGGACAGTGACGAGGACGAAGGGTTTGGCGCATTCCCCACAGAGGGGCTGCCCTCCATACCATCAGGTCAACCACACACAAGCACCATCACAGACGGACCACCCATCATTACCATCCTTGTCTGTCTGTTCGCCTGGTGTGCAGAGAGTGACCTGAGCCGCTACACGTCCGAGTGGAACCGTGCTGGCGGGTCGGGGCCCAACCTGATGGCGCCCGCCCTCCTCCGCCGCCTCAAGGTCAAGCTGCAGCCCCACACGCAGTTCCAACTGATCTGGGCGACGGAGCCATCCCAGGCCGTCCACCAGATGCCGGTGTCCATCTGGGCGCCCGACGGGCTGGAGGGGAAGCGGTCTACGCTGCGGAGGAACAGGGTGCGGATCTGTTTGGGGCACTATGTCATCGAGGGGTATGACATGCAGACCGTCGCCAATGCGGCTGCAGGGGCTGGGAGCCAAGGAGTGGCGCGGGTGAGGGAGGGAGGGAGAGAGGGAGGGAGAGAGGCGGATACAGATGGATGGCTGACACTCCTCTCGTGTGTGATTGTTTGTGTATATGTCTGTATAATTGTGTGTGTGTATGTGTGTGTGTGTGTGTGTGTGTTTGTTGTCCACCCACTCCCCAGGATCCTGTGGGTCCGATGGTGTTTGAGTTCACGGACACGGGTGTGTCTGGGCTGGCCGAGAGCCCCATCCTCAAGCCACTAGTCGACACACTCCTGCCCCTGCCCGTCAGGTTCAGACAGGTATGTCGGTATCCATCCTCACACACATGCTGCGCTGCAGGGCAGGGCAGGGCAGGGCCACCACACCAATCCTGTCAAGCAATGCAATCATGCCATGCCCTCCTCTGCCTCTCCTGCCTGCCTTGTGTCCATCAATGTCTGTCAGGTTGGCACGGATGCGTCTGGGCGCGCCCCCCTGCACCTGTGGTCGCCCGTGCCGCCCACCAATGACTACGTCGCCCTCGGCCTCATCGCCACCACGGGCGACTCCACCCCTCCCCCCCTCACCGCCATCCGCTGCATCCCACGCAAGTGGACCGCACCCTCGCCCGTGCCGCCCAGGAAACTCGCAGACCTCCACACATCAGGCGGCGGCAAGGTCACGTCGACGGCCAAGGGCGCCCTCTCCATCTGGGCCGTCACCTCCATGCAGCTGCTCGCGGCGGTGCCTGGCGGCTCGCTGCCACGGGAGAGGGGCGGGGAGGCCTTCGTGGAGCTCAAGTACAATAAGTTCGGCATCGAGCCGGACCGGCTGGGCTTCCGGGTATCGGGGGACTTGTTGTCTGGGGGCGATGAGCAGCGGGGCGACGGCGACAAGGAGATCCCCAGGATAATGAAGAGGGGCGCGAGCAAGGCCGGTTCCACTATGTCGGGCATACTGGGGCTCAAGTGATGGATCGATGGATGGATGGACGGCACTAGCTGCGGGGTGCCCTGTAGAGTCTATCTGAGCCGCGTGTGTCTGTGTGTGTCTTTTGTGTGAAGGCGATGGGACCGATGTGTGTGTGTGTGTGTGTGTAAAGCTATCGTCTATATAATACCATTAATACCATTAATACCAGTCGTATGTCTGTCTGTATGTGTAGTACGCGTAGTATATGCCCACCTGCATGCCTCAAAATGTGTGTGTGCATGGCCTCCAAATTTGGGAGGTGCATTGCATTTCATGCCAGCACAGTCCAGGAGCAATTCATGCGTGTGCAATGCCATGCCTGCACATGTGTGCCGTTTTGTCCGACTCACTCACTCGTGTAAGTACGTCTGGGTGTCTGCCTCAACATATGAATATCGCAGGAGGTCGATCCTCGCCGGCCTGCCCAGGATGTCGGCCGCTAACGGCGTTGCGTCCGGCCAAGTTGCGGAGGAGGAAAGGAGGGCAGATCCGACAATCAGCCTCGCGCTTGCCTACATGTACACAATGTGCGTGCGTGCATCATGATGGCCTCCAAATTTGGGAGGTGCATTGCAATGCAGCACAGTCCAGGAGCAATTCATGCGTGTGCAATGGCATGCCTGCACATGTGTGCCGTTTTGTCCGACTCACTCGTGTACATGGGTGTCCCTGCTCAACATGACTAATATCGCAGCTGCGCGCGGGGTCGATCCTCGCCGGCCTGCCCAGGATGTCGCGGCCGCTAACGGCATTGCGTACGGCCAAGTTGTTGGGGAGCAAACAAGGGCAGATCAAGCAAATAAGGGCAAATCAGATCCGTCAGAGACGAACGATGACGGCTCCGCGCTTGTCGGTGGCTTTGCTTCTCCTGTGCGCGCAGTCGGTGAAGTGCTTCCCCTTCCAGCCTGGCAGCTGCCGAGGCCCAGGATCACCCCGAGCACCTCACCCAGACTTCGAGGGCACCACACTCGGCGGCAGAGATACATTGGACGACAGCGATTACCGAGTTGACATCGGCCTGGACCCAAACACGGGCACGCCGACAGTCAAGGCAAGCCAACGGGGAGAAAAGGTTGTCTGTTTGTGTACGTGTGTGTGTGGTGTGGGTGTGCAGATCCAGACGGTCAACGACGCCACGTACCGCGGCATCCTCGTGCGTGCCGACGACGGTGTCTTCGCTGGCCTCACCGACGATCTGCAGCGCCTCACATGCCCACCCGGGTTCGACAGTGACGAGCAGCCCTCCCCATCGACCGAGGCGACGAACTCCGTCGGCCACAACTCGCGAACCGACAAGACGGGCCACGTGCTGACGCTGGAGGGCCTGACCCAGGGAGAGGTGGAAGTGAGGGTGTGGCTGCTGCAGCAGTTCAGTGGTCCGTGGTTTCAATTCGCTGGCACGATTGACGTGCCGTAGTGTGGATGACGGTGCTGAGGGCAGGGACACGTTGAGCAGAGAGACCTTTGCCAATGGCGCAGGGCAGATGGAGTGCTGTACTGTGACATGCCGTGGCTCTGAATTCGTGGATCCGTCTGCCTGTTCATATCTCATGATCTGTACAGTGATTTGTATATTTGTTGATCTGTATTTGTCTGGACAGACAAGACAGATGGGGAGTTTTTGACTGGACATGACATGACATGTGTGCGCTGCAGTGCATTAGACGCATGTGTGTGTGTGTGTGTGTATGGTATGATATGATTGACGCGTGTGCGTTGTGCTTGTGTGTGGGGCATAGTACGATGTGTGTGATCTACCAGCTGGGACACAGAAGGAACCAAAGCAATGGTGATTTATCAGTCAATCAACAATGTCATTGGCTGACACGTACGAGTAAGTCATTAATGCATTCACCGCAACCTCACTGCCGGCCAGCCCAAAACTGAGGCAGGCAGTCAGGCAGGCAGTCCAATTCAATCCCGTCCCGTCAGTCACTCATGTACAACGAACGGATGTCCTCACTCATCGATTGATTGCCTCCCATCCCATCACCACTCACTGTACAAATAGGCCTCTCTCGCCATGACATGCCGCATCGCATCGCATCACAGGTGCGCACCACACGAGAAGCTACTTACTACGTCTGCGGGACCTGATTATTGATGCCATCGACATCGGGAACGCTCATCTGCCCAGGAGCGACACCTGACCAACAAACACACCACATACACAGCCAGCCGGGTATGGTATTGCTTGTGTCCGGCGCTCCCTCGCTCCCCTGCTCACTGTGTGCGACTCGTCCGCTTCGTCCGTAGAGCATCCACATGAGGAAGAACATGAAGACGACGAACCCCGCCATGTACCACATGTGACGACCACTCTGCACACGGAGGATCCAGACAGAGAAAGACACTCGCTCGTTGCTTGGATGCCCTCTTGGCTCTCGTGTGCCCGTGTGTGTGCGCGTCAGGCGTGCTCACCTTACTCTTGACCATTTCGCCCAGCTTCTTCATTGTGGTGCCCATCATGGCACCGACCTTGTCGAAACTACCGGACTGCAGTCGACAGACACACACAGGTCGCAAGCACAACACTATTGAATGCTGCTCCCCTGGCTGACGCCTGCATCCAGGTGTTTCCTTACCAGGCCATCGAGGATGGTGTTTGACTCTCTCACTTGATCCTTGATAGCATGACCCAACTGAAGCAGCAGCAGCAGCAGCAGCAGCAAGAGAGAGAGAGAAACCAACAGAACAGAGTCCAAGGCTGTTTGCTTGCGTGTATGTGTGTGTGCGCGCGTGTGTTTGGGCACCTCTTTGAGTGTGGAGACTTTGCCCTCCAGGTCTTCGATGTATCTGTCATTCTCCTGCTCCATCATGGCCTCGGAGTGGTGCGCATACCTCTCCTGCTCCTGGTCGCGCCGCTTCGAGTAATTCGAAAACAGAGCGGCGCGCTGGTCGACCTCGAACCTGCACACAACCACACACCAAAGCAGCGTTCAGAAGAAACCGACAGGCGCCGTGTGGGAGTGGTTGTCCCTCCCTCCCTCTCTGTTACCTGTTCGCCATCCTCTGCTTGAAGACGTTTCTATCGGTCATACAGCAGTGCTCATCAATAGCTCACGCTCCGCAGCACAAAGCAAGAATATCACACCTTCCCTGTTGGCCCACGTCAGATTCAAGCTCGCAAATGAAAGCAGCGATGAATATCCTCCTGTTTGCTGCATCTGCCCTCTGCGTGCTGCGTGTTGCGTGTTGCGTGTCCGGGTTGCATGTTAGGGTGCGTGTTTTCATGTTGGACAGACCGACAGGGGACTTGGCCG